TCTGTGTAGCTTTGCGCCTTTCCTGGAACTCGCTTTGGAGACCAGGCTGGCCTCGAACTCACAGAGATCCGCCTGCCTCTGCCTCCCGAGTGCTGGGACAGTGAGTGCTCTTAACCCCTGAGCCATCTCTCCAGCACCTTCTCTAACTTTTTTCAGGAGTATTTTACAGTACATCACAGATTATTTTAGTACATCTCAAAATACCTAGACATTTTTACTCTTAGTTCTAAGTTTATGTATTCCACATACAAGCTAGCTTAATAAACGGTCTTTTTTTCTTTTTCAGGAGTTATATGGCCCTCATTCTATAGATGTTCTCTACCTGTTCTCTAAGGAAGACTTGGTCCTGGATCTGAGGTGGAGCATACTGATGACACTCCAGAGGTAACTCCTCATCCTCTCTCTCTTCTTTCATCAAAGTTGAGGGGTGCTTGAGAAACATGTCCTAAAAGATAACAAAAACAGTAATAATGGCAATAATAATATAATAATGATTAATTAGCTAGGGAAATAAGCTAGTCAGAATCTTGCAGGCTTCAAGGAGAACTCTATGGAAATCTTGATGCTCTGGAACCAGTGACAATGCTACATTTTTAATCCAACTCTATAGATTTCAATTCTTAATCCTAAACCACACACAAGAGAGTCTAACAAACTCACCAGACCTTAAATAGCTTAAGATCTACTACTATTTCTTATTCTTCATGTTGGGGCAATAAGTTTGTAATAATGTGGTAGGATTCAGCAATACAGAATAATCGTAGTAAATTAAAACAGTCTAACTGCCTTTTGAGTGGCAGAATTTAACTGACTAACAGTTTACTAAAACAGGGTCATTTGTACCACTAGGTACAAGACAGAACAGAAAAAGACAAGAGCAAGAATTGAACTATTAAGGGTTCACACACCCTTCTTAACATGGAGTGCCATTCTAATAGGACTTAGAATAGGTTCCACTGATACCATCAGCCCTGTCTGGCCTCTGATAAAATCTTGGCACTTGTGGTTTGGGAGTTAGACACTGATAACTTGCCAGAGCAAAGATTTCTCTCCCTTGCCCATCTGTCATGACAGAGAATGGCTCCTTAAAGTTTACTTCTTAAAAGAGAAAAAAAAATTATGCAGCAGGAATAGAATGACAGAAATAATAGTTAAGACTTTGCTGAGAACCACAGGGAGTAATATGAAACATAATGGCAGGAAGTCATGCTTTGTCAGTTCTCAAGTTTAGCTGAGAGTCTTTGCAAGATCCAAACTAAACCCCAAAGAGTTAAGTTTCTGCTAATCTCCGTCCTTTCTCTGCTCTACCTTGCTCCTAACAGAGACCTGATGGTGCCCACAGAGATCTTGATGGACATCAGAGGAAGTGCTTCTCTCCTAGTCTACCTTTCAGAACTGATTCTGGCTTCACCATATTTGCTTTAAAAAGAACAAACACAATGCACTGATTGCTTAGTTAACAACAACAGATTGGCTTAGACTGTCAGCTTGGGCGAGAATTTGACCCACTTCAGCCGTATGTACTGTTCTCTCCACACAGCCCCTTCTTCCTCTGGCCCTAAATGGTCTCTAGCAGAGAACTGGCCTGGAACCTGTGTTGAGAGACACAGTTGGGTACTTGTGGGCCATGCCTCTTTGTAACTTCCAGCTGCCAAAACAGTTGATGGCTGCCAGAAATATTTATCCTAATACAGAATTATTTTTTACACACAAATCTCACAGATATATATACTGCTGACATTACTTTAACATTTTGTTGACATTACTTTAACATTTTGTAGGAAGCCTGGAGTTTGGAAAAACTGCCGTTTCCAGTTAGGAATCTTCAAATCAACTGGAGAAGAATCTCTGCAGGTCCTATTATAAACCAAAAGTCACTTATGTCTTATTGTTCCCCATTCCTGCTGTTTTACCTGGTTTTGAAGTGGAAGATCCTGCTCCTGGCATTTGTGCAGATTATTATGGTCTTGGGAAAGAACATCATGGTCCTGACATTTAGGGAGAACATGCAGACCTCTTCTGTCCTGATATATAGGTAAAATATACTGGTGTCTGGGCAGGAAACTCTGTTCTTTAGGTGGGAGATCCTGGTTCTGATATTTGAGTGGATGACTCTGTTCTTCAGGTAAACCAAGCTGGTTTCTAGGTAGAAATTCCTGGTCTACTGGTAGAAAATGCTGGTTCTGACATTTAGGTAGAACATTCCAGTATTTAGGGAGATCATGGTGGTCTTTGTATAAAGAGTCCTGGTCTTGACATTTGGGCAGAAAATCCTGGTCTTTGGATAGAAAGGCCTGATTTGGCGGTAGAAAATCCTGTGCTTCCAACTCAATATTCCCATCTAGCTCAACAGTCTGGGCTTCAAGAATGTCCCCAGGTTCTGTCCTGAGAGCCTGGCTTTCTGGCTGGGTGGTCTTCAACTCGGTTCTAGTGGCCTGGGTGTTTGGCTCAGTGCCTGGAACTTCAGGCTCAACACTTAAAGCTTTGGGCTCAACATTAAGGACATCAATCACATCACTCTGGGATCCTGGACAATTGTCTTGAACTTCTACAAGATAATCCTGGGCTTCTGGAAGAACAGCCTGAAGGCTGTGAAGATGTAATTGCTTTTGTTCATCTTCCTTTATCACAACAAATAATGGATTTTTGAATTTTACTTTCTAAAAGGAAATATAGATAATAAACACAGACTGTTAGGTGGTAGCAAAAATCCACATTTTTCCATAAGAGTCCTAAAATAATCTTAAGTATCATAATCAAACAAAACTAGAATGGTGAAACCATAGTATTTGTCCAATGTTAAAAATAACCTGAGTCAACAATTCTAAATACACCATAAATTCCTAATTCAAGTCACAGGTTTTGTTGTTGTTTTTAAAAAAAACAAAAAAAAAAAACAAAAAACAAAAACACTTTTTTTTGTGTTACTGGTGACTAAACCAGGGCTTCATACATGCCAGACAAACACTCGACCACTGGACTACATACTCAATTCTCCTTTTATTTTGGGATAAATTCTCACAAAATTGCTCAAGTTGGTCTTGAACTCACATTATATCCAAGACTGACTTTGAACTTGTAATCTTTCTGCTTCGGTCTTCCAAGTAGATAAAATTATACATCTGTGCCCCAAGACCATAAGTTTACTTTTATTGCTTTACCTGAACTTTGCTGAGAGTCTTTTCTTTGTTTTCAGAAAGAAGATCCTGCTGGTAACCTACAAACAAATCTTCTCTCTCCTCATCTGTTGCAACAGATGAAAGTTCCCCACAGCCAAGGTCCTAAAGAAAAAGCAAACATTAAAACAACAACCACAAAAAAAACGCAAAGTCCCACTAAACGTAGAAATTATAAATGTACAATAAAACTTTAGAACAATAAGACTTTAGATTCTACAAAAAAGTCTAACAGAGCAATGTATTCAAATTTAATTGAATGTTTATACAGTACAAAACTATGCACTTAAAACTATAAAATATTATTAAAAGAAATTAAAGACCTAAATACATGAAAAGAGATCCCATGTTCAGACTGGGAGACAATGTTGTTCTTTGACAATATTGCTGGATTTGATGGGCCATCTGTAGTCCCAGAACTTTGAAGGTATAAATGAAAGTCCACAAGTTGAGACCAGACCAGCTTGGGCAGTATACTGAAATCTTATTGAACACACACACACACACACACACACACACACACACACACACACGCGTGCGTGCTAACACAAATTTACAACACACACTAGGCACATTTCCAACGCGGTAGCTCACAAGTGGATCAACAGACTCAAGAATCACTATTAAAATGCCAGCTGGTTTAAAAACAAACAACAAATGAATTCACAAGCAAATCATACAGACACACAGAATACTAGAAAGATGAGGGGTAAGAAATGAACCCTCACATTTACAATGAACTGACATCTGACAAGGGGGCCAGGACAATTCAATGGGAAAAGAATAATTCTTTAACAAATGGTAATAAGATAACTGAAGTGGACCCCTTCTTCAATTCTCTCATGAAAATCAACTGAAGATGAATCCAAACCTCAAAGTAAGAGCTAAAATTATAATATACTTAGAAGGCCTAGGACTAAAACTTCAGGACCCCATGTAATCAAGGGCTAGGAGATACGATACCAAAAGTGAGACAACAATAAATTAGACCACTCCAAAACTAAAATCTGGGGCCTATAAATGATGCTACTAATAAAGTAAAATGATAGTCTACAGAATGGGAGAAGTTCACATATGTCTACTAATAAGGGAAATATATTCACAACATAGAAGGAACATTTAAACCCTTACAATAAAAAGATGATCCAATTAAAATTTTTCAATAGACATTTTCTTCACAAGAGATACAAATGGGCAATAAGCATCTATATCTCCATTTCCCTACCTGATTTTCCATAAAGTTGTGGTAATGCATTGTAGTTAAAGGGCCTTCATGGATCTTACCGGGCGGTTCTTCTCTTGTTTCTTTATTTATCTTGATGCATGCTGGTTTCCTAAGAAGTGCTTTCTAGGGAGGTAAAACAAGCCAATCCATATATAAATAGTCTAGGGAAAGCAATGTCTTCAGTATTTTTACTTCAACCATACAAATAAATCACATGTCAACATGTGGAATAAAATACACTGGAAGAATATACAGACTTTAGAAATGACAACCTGCAGTTATTCTAGCCACTAACGACTGGTTACAGAAGACTTTTAATTTCAGTTTTGGCAATCTGACAAGGGTCAAACAAGAACATGTTGTACTTGTATCTCAAATTTTGAGTGACCGTACAATTAGATAGGGTATAATGCCACTAAAATCTAGTAAGAAAATGAAGGCAGAAGTTAACTGGGTTACAAAGTAATACTTTCTGACTGGTGGTTTTCACTTCCCACATGTGTGAAGGTAGAACACAGGTCAGCTATAAGTAAAAGTGTAAGAAAAATTCCACTAATTTCATAGATCTTTCCCAGGTATATGGAGTGGATCTATTTCTATTCTTCTATCTGGAAAAAGGACATGGCATTCTCTGGAAACATGCAGCAGGTTTGAACTCATTATCATTATAATAATACTAAATTACACCCATATGGTACCTCTGACGTATGAAACTGGTTTGTACAAGGATGTTATCTCAGGATTATTTCTCTCTTCTACAGGATTAATTATTTCAGTCAGGTCAGTGAACAGTACTTTCTCTGGAAAAACATCAACTGAAAGGCCTGAGTATATTCCAAACAATGTAAAATATCAGTCTCTAGGAACTAACAATACCTCTTCCCTGGCTTATTAAAAGTGTTCAGTCCTTTTTCTAATAGTACCTGCCAGTGACTCCAATAGTTGGCAGTTTTGAGAATATGAAAGAAAAGGTATTTCAGAAGTCACAACAGGATACTAGAAAAAGGCAACCATGATTATATCTAGGACAGAACCCCATTTGCTTTTTAAACTTAATTTATAAATTTTTAATTAATACTGAAGAGGGAAACAATCATAGTTTAGTATCCAGCCAATACCAACATAGAGACAGCTGTCTTTGATGGCTGTGTTGAGGAAAAAACCCACCTATGTAGTGTTAGTCCCATAAGACTGTGACCTCATGAATGATGCTGTAGTCTTTACTTTGTGTAAGTATGCACTATGATTTTACACAGTAAGGAAATCAACACAGTCCCGGGATGTACTGCTGTAGTTAAGCAGCACACATGTGTAAGGTCCATGTCATATGTCACACAGGCACTGAAATAGGGAAAGAACTGAGAGACAGTTGATGGTGGAAACACACCACAAAGCCTAAGTAAGGGTTGATTTTACTAGATGTTCTCACGAAAACTTGGAAGTTAATGCCAAAATTGAGCAAACACATGAAAACATAAGAATTGAGCTACTAAAATCTGAAATAAGTAGGATATCTAAACAATGACATTTTACAAGTATAGGCTTAACACTTTTAAACCTTGACCCACACTTAGTTTCTAATACTTCATTCTAAACTTAAATTTAGAATTAAATGAATTCCTTTATTAAAAGTAGTATTCAGCCGGGCGGTGGTGGCGCACGCCTTTAATCCCAGCACTCGGGAGGCAGAGCCAGGTGGATCTCTGTGAGTTCGAGGCAGTCTGGGGCTCTGGTGCTAGTAGGGAATTTACAGTAACACGTATATATGAGAATCTGAAATGAGAAGTGGGATAAAGAAAAAAGAGACAGACAAACATGGGCATAGATAACTGGTCTCCTTCCTTCCTTGCACTTGCTGGGCCTCAGTTTTGTGTAATATTATAGATAACTTTTATTTCCTTGTCTTCTTTTTAAAAATTTTGTAATACGTATGTTTTCCATTCTAATAAGGAAATAGTAAACACTAATTTTTGTTTGTTTTTTGAGACAGTGTTCCCCTGTATAGCCCTGGCTATCCTGGAACTCACTCTGTAGAACAAGCTGGCCTCGAACTCAGAGATCTGTCTGACTCTGCCTTCTGGATGCTGGGATTAAAGGTGTGCACCACCATGGCCTGGTGTTATCATGTGTTAAATAAATACATATTTTTTTTTAATTAAGATTATAGTATATGTAATTTTATATTCTATTTTTTTTTTCAGTTAAAATTTTACCCTGGTCTTCAAATATTATTTGAAAATATGATTTGTTTATAAGAATGGCTGTATTTAGATATATCTTAATTCATTCAAGCATTCCCTATTAAAGGGATATTGAAGAATACTTCAATTATTTTGCATTTCTAAGTTACGTTGATATAAAAATAAATTCCTAGTTATATTTTCACATATTTTTGAAAACAGCATATTGGAAATTACTATACCTCTTGGGTAGGAGAGCTTTTCCTTCTACCATTTAGAAACACTGAAGTCTTTTTTTCACTCACAGTTTTAAAGGATGCCAGCTGGTGACGTGCCTGTTTCATAGTCTGACTAAGCTGCCAGGAAAGGTGGAAAAAAGAAAACAAAAACAGGTTAAAGTCTTAATACCAAACGCACCAACTGTTCCAGCAAGAAAACAGGTCTCTATTATAAAAGATGCCAGACTCGGGACAAGAGGATTACTTACAAAGGAGACTTTAGTCTGCTGACAGTGCTTTACAATATTGCTGTCATTATTCTAAGAAAAAACTGGGTAACTTCATGACTTGATTTAAGTTCTATTAAGCAAATCTATTTAAAATGATACATACCTTTTACACATAAAATGTCAGAAAATAACACTTAAATATAGGTAGAAATTATTATAGGTAGGAAATTACATTCCTTATCTTCTATTCATCTTGCATAAATGTTTTTATTACTCTTTGCTATAAGACTCTATACCTAGTTCCCCTAGAACTCTTATTTTCTTATTTACATGAATCTTTTCCCTACCTACCTCATTTGAAAACTAGCATGAGCCTTTTCTCAGATCCCCTTTCCTCCAGAAAGCCTTCCTAACTGTCCTAGTTTCATTCCTGTTGCTGAGATAAAAATACCCTGACAAAGGCAACTCAGGGGTTAGGGGGAAAGTGGTTTATTACAGCTTACAATTCCAGGTTACAGTCCATCATTGTAGGGAAGTCGAGGCAGGAAATTCAAAGAGCTAATCACATTTTACCCAATCAGCAATAGAGAGAAATGAATGCTCACTTGATTCCTTGCTTTCACTAGCTTAATTTCTCCATTCTTGTTATAATTCAGGACCCCTTGCTAAAGAATGGCACTGCCCCCAGTGGGTTGGGTCTTCCCCACTTTCTAATAGAAACAATCATCCACAGACATGCCCACAGGCCAACCTGAAGCAGACCATCCCTCAGTGAAACTCTCTTTCCAGGTGAGTCTAGATTGTGTAAAGTGGACAATGAAAGCTGACTATCACATTAAGTAATGTAGAATGCAAATACTGTATATAGAACCAATTTGTTTCAATTAGCTAAGAAACAACTGATATATGACCATCATATGACTTTATATTCACTCCTTATTCTAGTGATTTTAGTATATAACTATTTTCCTTTTCCAGTAGCACAATCTATTTTATCTCTCTCAAATCTTCAAAAAATGTCCACTTAGGAAGAAAAAAAAAACTATGTATCTTTTTATTTTAGGATAAGCAAAGCATCAGGAAAAGGACAAACATCTCCATAATAATTAAAGAAATTACAGCAAAGCTAGGAATACTTCTAACCCACCATTAAAATGCTAATGGTATCAAGTCTTCCTTGAGGAAAACTTTGACTTATTGATATAATAATCATGACTATATAATTTTTACTAATAATGAGCTAATGATTAAAACACACTTAAAACACACACACACACACACTCCTACTACCAGCCCAATGTTCCAGTGTATCTTTCTCCTTCTTCCTTGCTTCTAGAGGTCTACATCTCTAACCAGGTACACCAGTTTGAAACTTTACTCTTTGTTCCACCAAAAGGAAGACTTCTGGATCAGGTGCAGAGTGGCTACAGAAATCAAGACAGTTATTAACAATGCAAAAAGACATTCTGTGCAGTTGGAGTTAAACAATGTATAGCTTTATTCATTGTCAAGTAGAATAGGTTCCAATGACCCATACCATAAGGCCAAAGAGTCCAAAGGTCTTTTGCAGTCTGTCGTAACACATGTAAAAACAGGTATCAGAATCTTCATTTCCCATCAATTACTAATTTCGCTTAGAGTCCGAGTCATAAGCAGGTTTTTCAACGGTCCAGCAGCCAGAAGCAGCATTGTGTTCTAGTTCTCTTTCCTTACCCTCTTTGCCAAGCCTCAACCTTGTGAAAACCTTTTCAATGACAAGAACTATAACAGTCTGAGTATTGGCCAACCAAAAATACTAGATCCTAATCCCTGGAACTCTGCATGACATTTTATAAGGTAAAAGGGCCCCTGCTGATGTGTATTAAGAGTACTAATATATAGAAATAATCTCAGATTATCCAAATGGGCACTAACTGCCACCACAGGTGTCCTTGTAAGACAACAGTAGAGGGAGGGTCAGCAGAGAAGAGGAGTTGATGTGGAGATGCAGACAAAGGCTCAGAAGCTACAAGAAAAGAAATGTCAGCAGAGAAACACCAACCGCTGGAAAAGTCAAGGAACATAATCTGTAGGAAGGTAGCCCTGCTGAACCTTGATTAGGAGTCATGAAACTCAGTTTAAATGTCTAGCCTCTAAACCCTCAGCAAATACATTTCTGATACTTTAGCCATTTAAATTGGATAATCTGGGTCTTTTGGCACATACCTATTATAATCATAGAACTTGGGATGCTAAGGCAGGAACATGAGTACAAGGTCAGCCTAGGCTACACAGTGAGTTTAAAACTGTTCTGGGCTACTGAGTGCAAAACTAGACACACAACTTAATCTTTTACAGCTATTAATTATTATTAACAGACTACCACTGAATGATTAGCCAACTTAAGCTTTTTTGATGGAGCTGGTTGTAGTGGCTCATGCCTGTAATCCCAACACTTAGGAGACTCAGGCAGGAGAATTATTGCAATTTCAAGGCCAGCCTCAGCTAATAATAAATTCCAGGAAAGTCTCAGCTAAGTAATAAGTTCCAGGACAGCCTCAGTTGAGTAGTAAGTTCCAGGAGAGCCTCAGTTAAGGAGTAAGACTGCCTCAAAACAAACAAATGGGCTGTAAAATGGCTCAGCTACTAGGAACACGTATTGTTTTTCCAAAAGACCTGCGTTCAGTCCCAGCACTCATGTTGGGGGACTCACAACTGCCTCAACTTTATCTCCAAAGGATTTAATGCCCTCTTCTTGCTTCCATGAGCCCTACCCCTCAACACAAACATCAGTATAAATAAAAACAATAATTTAAAAAACAAATAATTCCCTAGTGGAGATGAAAAATTCACAACAGTACAGAAAACCCAGCAAATAAAAAACAATCAATATAACCTCAGATCAAAAACTGAAGTTACCACCTGGCTCAGCTGTGATTAATATTAATGGCAATGACAATGAAAATGCTGAATCTCAACTAAGGAAATTTTAGTATAGTAACATTATAAAGAGAGGGTAAGGGATGGAAAAGTATGTGTGCAGTGGCAAGAGGGAAAGAGAGCCGAGCCAAACCCTCATCTTTCCTAACAGGACATCATTAAGATTCTCTACCATACACTTAGGTTGTATAACAGTTTCCTCTGAGACTGAAACATTCCATCCCCCAGGGAACTCCTTTTTTTGTTGTTTTTATTTTTTTTTTAATTTTTAAAATCATTTTACATATCAACCACAGATCCCCCTCTCATTCCTCCTCCTGCTCCTCCCACCCCCCCTACCCTTCATCCCCTCCTCCAAAAGGCTAAGTTCTCCCATGGGGGAACAGCTAAGCCTGGTACCTTCAGTTGAGGCAGGACCTAGCCCCTCCCCCACTTCATCAGAGCTGAGCAAGGTGTGACCATAGGTAATGGGTTCCAAAAAGCCAGCTCATTAACCAGGGGTAGATCCTGATCCCACTGCCAGGGGCCCCTCAAACAGACCCAGCTACACAACTGCCTCCTGTATGCAGAGGGTCTAGTCCGGTCCCATGCAGGTTCCATAGATGTCAGTCATGAGTTTGAGCTTGGTTCATTTGTCACTGTAGATTTCCCCATCATGATCTTGACCCTCCTTGCTCATATAATGCCTCTTCCACCTCTTCAACTGGACTCCCAGAATTCGGCCTGGTATTTGGTTGTGGATCTCTGCATCTGCTTCCATCAGTTACTGGATAAAGGCTCTATGATGACAGTTAGGGTATTCACCAATCTGATTACCAGAGTAGGCCAGTTCAGGCTCCCTCTCCACTATTGCTATTAGTCTAATCTGGGGTCATCCTTGTGGATTACTGGGAATTTCCCTAGCACCAGGTTTCTCCCTTACCCCATAATGTCTCTCTCTATCTAGGTATTTCTTTCATTGCTCTCCCACTCCATCCCTCCCCCAGCTCGACCATCTCGTTTCCTCGTGTTCTCATCCCCAACTCCCTTTCTCTCTTTTGCGCCCCCCCCCCCACATCCCCAGTTTACTCATGGAGATCTTCCCCTTTCCAAGGCAATCCATGCATCCCTCTTAGGGTCCTCCTTGTGTCCTAGCTTCTCTGGAGCTGTGGGTTATAGTCTAATTATCCTCTGCTTTACATCTAGTATCCACTTATGAGTGAGTATATACCATGTTTGTCATTCTGAGTCTGGGTTAACTCACTCAGGATATTTTCTAGTTCCATCCATTTTTCTGCAAATTTCATGATGTCATTGTTTTTTACAGCTGAGTACTACTCCATTGTACATATGTACCACATTTTATTTATCCATTCTTCAGGTGAGGGGCATCTAGGTTGCTTCCAGGTTCTGGCTATTATAAATAATGCTGCTATGAACACACTTGAGCAAGTGTCCTTGTGGCATCCCTTGGATATATGCCCAAGAGTGGTATAGCTGTGTCTTGAGGTAGATTGATTCCGAATTTTCTGAGAAACCACCATACTGATTTCCAAAGTGGCTGTACAAGTTTGCACTCCCACCAACAGTGGAGGAGTGTTCCTCTTGCTCCACATCCTCTCCAACATAAGCTGTCATCAATGATTTTGATCTTAGCCATTCTGACAGTATAAGAAGGTATCACGGAGTCATTTTGATTTGCATTTCCCTGATGACTAAAGTTGTTGAGTAATTCCTTAAATGTCTTTCAGCCATTTGGGATTTTTTTTTTTTTTTTTTTTTTT